GAGAATTGTCTATTTAGTTCTGTACCCCATTTTTTAATTGGATTGTTCGGTGTTTTGGAGACTAGCTTCTTGAGTTCTTTGTCTATTTTGGAGATCAGCCCTCTGTCAAATGTGGGATTGGTGAATATCTTTTCCCGGTCTGTGGGCTGCTGTTTTGTCTTGCTGGCTGTGTCCTTTGCCTTACAGAAGCTGTCCCCTTTATCAATTGTTGATCTCAGTGTCTGTGCTACTGGTGTAATATTCAGGAAGCAGTCTCCTGTACCAATTAATTCAAGGGTATTTCCCACTTTGTCTTCTAATAGGTTCAGTGTGGCTGGATTTATGTTGAGATCTTTGATCCATTTTGACTTGAGTTTTGTGCATGGTGATAAACATGCATCTATATGTGCTATTCTACATTGAGCTCTCTTCTATGGCCAGAAATTTGGCTGAAGATGTCTTTTTTCCACCATACATTTTTGGCTTCTTTTGCAAATACAAGTATTTACAGTTTCTTTGGCCTTGTGTCTGGGGTTTCAATTTGATTACCTTGATTCATATGCCTATTTTCATGCCAATTCCATGCTGTTTGTATTATAAAACTCTGTAGTACAACAAAAGGGATGGTGATACCTCCAGAAGTTCCTTTATTGTACAGGGTTGTTTTGTTCTGGGTCTTTTGTTTTTCCATATAAAGTTGAGAATTTTTCTTTCAAGTCTGTGAAGAATTGTGTTGGGATTTTGATGGAGATTGCATTGAATCTATAAGTTGCTTTTGACAAGATTGCCATTTTTACTATGTTGATCCTACCTATCCAAGACCATGGGAGATCTTTCCATTTTCTGGTATCTTCTTTAATTTCTTCTTTAGAGATTCAAAATTCTTATGATACAGGTCTTTCACTTTTTTGGTTAGTGTTACCCCAAGGTATTTTATTCCTGTTTGTGGCAATTGTAAAGGGTGATGTTTCTCTGATCTCTTTCTCAATGAATGTATCATTTGTATATAGTAAGGCTATAGATTTTTTGAGTTAATCTTGTATCCTGCCACTTTGCTGAAGGTGTTTATCAGCTGTAGGAGTTCCCTGGTAGAGTTTTTCACATCACTTATGTAGACTATCATATCATCTGCTAATAGTGAGAGTTTGACTTCTTCCTTTCCTATTTGTATTTCCTTGATCTCCTTTTGTTGTCTTATTGCTCTAGCTAGAACTTCAAGGACAATATTGAAGAGGTATGGAGAGAGTGAACAGCCTTGTCTTGTCCCTGATTTTAGAGGAATTGCATTGAGTTTCTCTCCATTTAATTTGATGTTGGCTGTTGGCTTGCTGTATATTGCTTTTATTATGTTGAGGTATGTTACTGCTATCCGTGATTCCTCCAAGACCTTTATCATGAAGGGGTGTTGGATTTTGCCACAGGCTTTTTCAGCATCTAGTGAGATGATCATGTGGGTTTTTTCCTCAGTCTGTTTATATGGTGGATTACATTGATGAATTTTCAAATGTTTAACCAGCCTTGCATCCTTGGGTTGAGGCCTACTTGATCATGGTGGATGATTTCTCTGATATATTCTTGGATTTGATTTGTCAGTATTTTATTGAGAATTTTTGCATCAATGTTCATGAGGGATATTGGTCTGTAGTTCTCTTTCTTAGTGTGTCTTTGTGTGGCTTGGATATCAAGGTTATTGAAGCCTGGTAAAAAGAATTTGGCAATAACCCTTCTGGGAAGTATTCAAATTTAACAGGGGCCAATCTCCACCAGTTATGACCATAATTCTATTAGAAAATATATCAAAACAAGAGGTTTAAAACTGAAATCATTCTTTTGGTGATATAAATTTTAGGGACAGATTAATAGTAGTGAATATAATTTCTATGTATGAATTCTATTTTTTGACTTTTTCAATGAAGAGTGGTGGCAACGTGTTTTTCTTGATTGGTACCTGTCTCAGGGAGTAATAACCTTCACTCCTTTTGACAAATGTGAAACTATTTCTCTCATTCTTTCTAATCTAGAATCACCCATCTTCTATCTTCTTCTCCCTAAAATGCAAACATTATCATGCTCTAAGCATAGTTTTCACTATTCACTTTTAAGAGAACACAGAGAAAAGTGCATAAATCACACACTCACATCCTGATACATGAGCAAACCCTGAGCATTGTGACCAAACCCTGATCATCATGAAAACAGCATCATATTTTACCTTCTGATTTGAATCAAGGCGATTTTTCTTCATCGTTGTTACAAATTTTTTGAAAAAGTTTGTTGATTGTCTTGGGAAAATGGAGAAATTTAACAGCTCATATATTGGAGTAAGGAATGGAAACAGTACTACAGAGAAAAAAATAAATGCAGAGAATAAGTGATTATGTATTGCCCCAAATCAACTGATATGCTAGAACGCAATCTCTATATTTAAGGCTCAGGGAAAATCATGGACAAGGGGGTAGGAAAGTTGTAAAAACAGAAAGATGGGAAGGCCTGCTGCGAGACTGCATCTTCTAGACATGGCAGGGGAACTTGGCTGTGGGAGCCCACAGTGACTCAGTTTCCATCTGGTGTCTATTCTAACTTATAAGACATTGTTGTTCAAGCTTGCTTGTTTCAGTCCCCTTGAGAGCCATGAGAAAGTTCTGATTAAGTCAATGGAAAAGAGCATATTGTCTAACTAACAAGCTTCTGATGCCAGCCAAAAGGCACACAGAGATAGGGAATGAAGCTGTTTGCTGTTTGCATGACTCACAGGATAGTGAAGCTGGCTGCTCCTAGACTCAAGGACAGTACAGGGAGCTGGTTAATTGACTATGCTGCTCTTTTTTCTGCTTTGCCTCTAGTCTTTACATAAGCAGGGTTTAAATTAAACTCAGGCTAGTTTGCTGAAAGGCATGGACTGGGCAATCCTCCCAAATCCATCCTGTGTTTTGTCTTAGTTTCTTTTGTGAGCCTTTTCTCAATCCCCACACCCTTACTCAGGTAACCCAGCTGACTCATTGGAGCAGGCTCTTACACTTGGCCCATGAAATCTCAACAATGTGGTTGTCCAGATAAAATCTGTGTAATGATAACAGTGGTTGATGTGCCAATGTGGACGGGGATGTCCAAAAGCTCTTACCTCTAGATGAAGAGCCACGGTAAATTAATGGCTATTGAGAGAAAAAATAAGTTTTCTCCAAGGATGGGGCCCTAATAGATCATCCAATCCCAAGTAGTTGGCCAGAAACATGCATATAAGAGCAACACTAAATGGACTCAGTAGGATATATTGTGTGTGTGTGTGTGTGTGTGTGTGTGTGTGTGTGTGCATACATGTGTAAACATTATAGTTAAAGGAGAAGAGTCACAGATTTGAGGAGTTGCAAACATGAGATGAGATGGGGGGAGAAGGAATGGAAATAATGCAAATATGGGACTCATGTGTAAAATTCTTTAAAAATGTAAATAATCCCCCATAATGTTTGACTCCTAAATATACTCCTAAATATTAGATGGTAATACTAAAAAAATCATAAAGAAAAAAATGAAGTTTCAGATAGAATGTGGAGAAAATGAAGCCCTTGGAAACTACTGGCAGCAAAACAAACAAACAAAAAATTCTAAAAAAGATTTCAGTTGCCCAACAAGTCAAACATAGAATTCCTCTATAATTTGCTAATTTCACACCAATTGCCTACCAGGAAAACATGAATATAAATGTTCAGTCATCAGATAGTTCAGAATGTGATTTGTTTATGGAACATGGGAGTGGCAACAAAGGGTTCTGTTGAATATATGAGAAAGAAACTAGTTGTCAAATTCCAAATAGTCTATAAAATATTTGTATTGTATTTTAATGCTATTCCAAGAATAAGTAGATCTACAAGAACACACAGCTATCTGGACATTTCTTATGTTATGAAAGAATGGGAAATGAGAATGAAAAGGTATAGATTTTTTTGGAAAATGCATTTCCTGGTTCACAATGGTGATGGGTACATGTGCCTTTGGTGAACAAAAATTGTATTGCACATTTTAAGAAATTGAATTTTTTACATGTGAATGATATCTCAACTATGGTGTTATTTTGACTGGTTGTATGAGGGAGGAATATAAAGAGAAGAAATAATTTACATACCTATAGAGAGAATAAATGGATCAAAGAATTTAAACTTTAAGATCTTCTTGGCTTTCTGCACAAAGGGATCCTCTGGGTTGTTGAGGGAATCGACATTCACTCCAAATGATGTACCAGTGATCACATCCATGCTGTAAGCTCCAAGAATGCTGAGGATAGAGAGACATGGAAATCAGCATCTGGATCTGAGGCAGCTTATGTTTCCGAGCTACCCAGGCAGGGAGCCCTAGAGTCAGAACCACCTGCTGGATCATCAATGGGGTCAAGGCTCCTATCACACTCACACATGGAGCCTTTACCTGTGGTTGGTTTGCAGATGGCCTTTTCCTAGAGTTGAGGGGACACTAAGATACTCACTGTCCCATCAACTCCACCACCACTTACTCTTTTGTATTGATGGGCTTCCCTTTCTCTTCTTCTCGTCTCAAGTTTTTCACCAACGTATCTCCATACTGTGTGATGATGGGGAACATCTAAAAACAAAGCACAGCATCTGTAGCTAAGTGTGGAAACTCAGGTCCCAGAAAGACAGCTCATCCCCATCCAGGAAGCAATGGTGGGGTGTTACAGTAGATTTTAAAATGTATCCCCTGGGCGTGAAGACAAAAGATCATATTAAATGAATTGTAACTCAGAGGACCAACACTAGAAAAAGGACTGTGGGCTCACTGTCTACCTGTTCCAGATTCATCCCATAAGTAAATGCCCTCTCCATCATCACCTCCTTGAGTTTTCCACTGGTGAATGTTGGAGACAGCAGTGTTCGCAGTCTCTTCCATTCTTCATCTTCAGATACAGTGATGGCCTTTTTCATAAATCCCACTGGCCCAAAAGACTAGAGTTCAAACAGAAAGAAAATGTATCATATTAAATTTTCACAATTTTAGGAAGTTGATTAAACAAGCATCATTTTCTTAACAAATATTATTGATTATTAAGTGTATGAACATTGCTAAATGCTCAACAATCTTTTATTTAAATCATCTGTAATTGCTATACATGGAGGTGACACCTATACATCTGGCATAGCTTCATATCTTTCTATGATTGTCTCATTTTAAATGAAAGTCACCCTTGCAGAATCAAAGAACAAGAACAAATGGGATAACCCTATAGCATAGTGTCCTTCAAAACTGTGCAAACGAAAATGAATTAGTGATAGAAAGCAACTGCCCTTGGCTAAATATTAGATCAGGTCAGTCCCTCATTTATAGCTGTCAGCAGTAAAAGGCAATCAGATTCTTTGAAGCTGACTTTTAAAAAAGCTATAGATGCTATAAAATGTGTATTTGATATTTCAATAAATAATGAAATTGTATAGAAATTGTTTTGTCTTAATTTCTATACACGGACACAAGGAAAAAGAAAAATAATTCTGTTTCTCTATTGGGAATGTTCTTCAATCATGTGTATCTATGAACATTGGGTCAGAGGAACACACACAAACACATACATACAGTTTTTTTGTTTATGTTGTTTGCTTTGCTTTATGACAGGGTCTTACTATGTAGCCCTGGCTGTCCTGGAATTGCTCTATAGACCAGGCTGGCCTTGAACTCACAGAGATCCTCCTGCCTTTGCCTCTGAAGTGCTGAGATTAGAGGCATACATTGCCACACCTGGCTCCCAGAACTGTATTTTGTGCTAGTGTGGATTCTTTCAATATTCTTTTATGACAAAAGCCCAGTACAGCAGGTGGGCACAAATTTCTTCCACTCCACTCCATGAAACAGGATTACTAAATCCTTCAACCAACTTCACACTTACTGGTGAAAGTCTGAATTTTTACCCACTGGTCTGTAGCAACTTTAAAAAGTCTGAGGTATCAGCCTGGTCTACAGAGCCAGTTCCACGACAGCCAGAGCTACACAGAGAAACCCTGCCTCAAAAAAAAAAACACAAAAAAGTCTGCTGTCACCACTGTCATTCAGTGCCATCCTGGAAGTGCCAACTAGTATAACAAGGCAAGAAAGAATATGGATTGCAAAGTAATAAGCAAAAGTATTCTTATATTCAAGCAACATAATGGACTGTGTAGAACATATTGAATGACACACAGAAAGAATTTATAATAATAATGAATAAGCTTAGCAACTGTCCTATGATACAACAGCAATTCAAAATCAATTGTGTTTTTACTTAAAATCAATTATATTAGAAAAATCTCAAGAATATTACATAATCAACAACCATCTCTGGAAATGTTATAAGTCATTTATACTTAAGATATAAGCTTAACAAAATATGTACAGGTATTTCAGCTGAAACTAACAAAATTTCGATGTGGCAATCAAAAGAAACCTAAGAAGTGTAGAGCACACAATAGTCATGGATTAGAAGATTAAACACAGAAATATGTTTATTTTCTCATGTCAACTTCAAATTTTCAACAAACTGAGATCATTATCAATACAGACAAGCTTGTTCTGATTTTTGGCTAGAAAGATTAAGGGCCAAGAATAGTTCTATCAGCTGGGAAATCCCACCCCGGGGTCTGCAGGCAAACTGAATCTACCAGAAATTCAAACAAGAGCTAATACCAATACTCCTCAAACTGTTCCACACAATAGAAGCAGAAGGTTCATTGCAAAACTCTTTTTACAAGGCTACCATTACCGTGGTACCCAAGCCACACAAAGACACAACTAAGTAAAGGAACTGCAGACCAATATCCCTCATGAACATAGATGCAAAAATACTCAATAAAATAATGGCAAACTGAATCCAAGAACATATCAGAAAAATCATCCACCATGATCAAGTAGGTTCATCCCTGGGATGCAGGGTTGGTTCAACATTCGAAAATCTATCAATGTAATCCACCATATAAACCAACTGAAGAAGAAAAACCACATGATCATCTCACTAGATGCTGAAAAAGCCTTTGAAAAAAATCCAACATCCCTTCATGATAAAGGTCCTGGAGAGATCAGGAATAACAGGAACATACCTGAACATAATAAAAAAATATACAGTAAGCCAACAGCCAACATCAAACTAAATGGAGAGAAACTCAAAGCTATTCCTCTAAAATCAGGAACAAGACAAGGCTGTCCACTCTTTCCATATCTCTTCAATATTGTCCTTGAAGTTCTAGCTAGAGCAATAAGACAACAAAAGGAGATCAAGGGGTACAAATTGGAAAGGAAGAAGTCTATGATAGTCTGCATAAGTGACCCCCCCAAAAAAACTCTACCAGGGAACTCCTACAGCTGATAAACACCTACAGCAAAGTGGCAGGATACAAGATTAACTCAAAAAAATCAGTAGCCCTGCTATATATGGATGATAAACGTGACGAGAAAGAAACGTGACCCTTTACAATTGCCACAGACAACATAAAATACCTTGGGGTAACACTAACCAAAAGAGTGAAAGACCTGTATCATAAGAATTTGAGTCTTTAAAGAAAGAAATTAAAGAAGATACCAGAAAATGGAAAGATCTCCCATGTTCTTGGATAGGTAGAATCAACATAGTAAAAATGGTAATCTTGCCAAAAGCAATCTACAAATTCAATGAAATCCCCATCAAAATCCCAGCACAATTTGTCACAGACCTTGAAAGAACAATCTCAACTTTATATGGAAAAGCAAAAGACCCAGGATAGCCAAAACAATCCCGTACAATAAAAAGAACTTCCAGAGGCATCCCCATCCCTGATTTCAAGCTCTATTATAGAGCTATAGTCCTGAAATCAGCTTGGTATTGGCACAAAAATGGACAGGTAGATCAATGGAATCGAGTTGAAAACCCTGATATTAACACACACACACACACACAGAGCTATGAATGCCTGATTTTTGATAAAGAAGCCAAAGCTATACAATGGAATAAAGAAAGCATTTTCAACAAATGGTGCTGGCATAACTGGATGCTGGCATGTAGAAGACTGCAGATAGATCCATGTCTATCGCCATGCACAAAACTTAACTCAAAATGGATGAAAGACCTCAACATCAATCCGGCCACACTGAACTTATTAAAAGAGAAAGTAGGAAATACCCTTGAAGGAATTGGTACAGGAGATAGCTTCCTGAACATGACACCAGTAGCACAGACACTGAGACCCAAAATTAATAAATGGGACCTCCTGAAACTAAGAAGCTTCTGTAAGGCAAAGGACACAGTCAGCAAGACAAAATGGCAGCCCACAGACTGGGAAAAGATATTCACCAACCCCACATCTGACAGAGGGCCTGCCACCCAGCTCCCAAATAAATCACAATGAGTCTTATTCTTTCCTTTTTTCCCTTTAAGACAAGGTTTCTTTGTGTAGCCCTGGCTGTTCTGGAACTCACTCTGTAGATCAGGCTGGCCTTAAACTCACAGAGATCTGCCTGCCTCTGCCACCTGAGTGCTTGGATTAAAGCCGAGTGTTACCACTGCCCATCTTATTCTGTTTTATGAATGACTGGCCTTTGCTTGGCTTGTTTCTTGTCAGTTTTTCTTAAATTATCCCATCTATCTTTTGTCTCTGGGCTTTTACCTCTCTCCATTTCTCCATATCTTTTCTTCCTTTCTTATTCTGTGTCTGACTGTAGCTGTGTAGCTGACTCCCCGGCATCCTTCTCTCTTCCTTTCTTGTTGCTTGAACTCCCTATATCTCCTTTTCTGCTTCTATTTATCCTCTCTGCCTGGAATCCCTACGTATCCTTTCTCCTGCTTTGATATTGACTGTTAAGCTCTTTAGTAGACCAAGCAGGTGTTTTAGACAAAGTAACACAGCTTCACAGTTAAACAAATACAACATAAAATAACGCAATGCATCTCTGCATCATTAAACAAATGTTCCACAGCATAAACAAATGCAGCACATCTTAAACTAATATTCTACAACAGTGAATAATTGTGGTGGTTTGAATAGGAATGGGCCCAATAGGCTCATAGCTTTGAATACTTGATCATTAGAGAACAGTGCTGCTTGACAGGGATTAGGAGATGTCACTAGGGGTGAGCCTTGGGGTCTAAGAAGCCCAATCCAAGCCCAGTGTTTCTTTCTTCCTGATGTCTGTGGATCTGGATGTAGAACTCTCAGCTCCTTCTCCAGCAATATGTCCGCCTGCATGCCACCATGCTTCCCACCATGATGATAATGGACTAAACCTCTGAAAGTGCAAGCCAGCCTCAACTAATAAATGTTTTCTTTCTTAAGAGTTGTCATGGTCATGGTGACTCTTCATAGCAATAAAACATTGACTAAGATAATAATAAAGATTTATGTTTCCTAAAAAGATGCCTACCCGACGGTTTGTGAAGATGGAGTAGCATTCTTTCACCAGCACTGTTTTGATGACCTCTGGATCCGCAATACCCAGCACAGGCCGTCGACCATCATAAAACCTGAGGTGGGAAAGCAGGGTGGACTGAACCTCAGAAGCCAGATTCTACACCTGGAGTTACACCCTAGACTCCAGACTCCACCCCTGAGGCTGCACAGCCACACCCCCAGCTCTATAAAGCACAGTAACATGAGACCCATCTCAAGTTCTGACCATAGAAGCCATTGGAGTCTTGTGAAATAAAGTGTGGCTGAATCAGGAAAGAGACACTTTGGATGAAACAGCCCGTCGAAGACGTCCTTAGTAAGAATGAACACGGGAACATCGGTTAAGGCTAGGCAAATGTGCATGGTTACTACCAATACCATCCTTTCCTGTTTAAATATTTCAGTATCTGGGTTGGAGGTGTGGCTCAGTGGTAGAGCCCTTGTCTATCAAGTGTGTGGCACTGGGTTTGACCCCCAGAGATATAGAAAATTTCAAGAAAATGAATAAATTATTCCAAAGTCAAAACAGAATGTTATCAGTGGAAACTTAGAAACAAACCATTCAGTATTCATGATAATGTTGCAGGAGAATTTGCTTTGGGGCCACCAGAGGACAGCACAACACGTGCTTGGCATTGGGTCACATGGTCTTTATGGGCTGTGTCACCTCAGCAGACCCTGTGACCAAAACTGTGGTTTCTGAAGAAGGGTGAGATGGGATGAAGAGGCAGAGCCTCCTCCCATTTGATTGTACCTCACCTCACAATGGTGACACCTCCCCCAAGTCTCTGACAGGGGAGAGCTATGCCACAGGCTCAGCCACTCAACAAAACTGCTGAAGACTTAACCCTGTAGGAGTAAACAGTTTCTTAATAATTGCCTGCATTTCTTCTTCAGTGTCAGCAGAGTTAGGTGGACAGGGAATACCCACAGATTCTATCAAAAGTTCTTATCTTGAAACTAATAATGGACAAAAAGCAAAATTGTGATACAGATGCCCCACTTAAAGCTGAGCAATCTATAGTCTCTTGTCTGGGTGTTGACCAGCTGTGGATCTCTGTGTTAGCCATGATCTACTGAAGGACGGAGTTTTGCTGATGACCACAAGTCATCTGGAGTCCATTCAATACTATGTCTATTTTGCAGAATAATAGAAGTAGGTCCTCCTTCCAAGGCTCAACAATCATTGACGAAAGGGAAGGGGGAAGAGCTCGAGGCAGAAGATGACAAAGAAACTGTCTTCTGAACACAATGGGGCAGTTGTACATATGAACTCCCAGTGGTTGTTGCAGCATGCACAAGACCTTTGTAAGCTGAAGCCAGAAAAAAGTGCCAGCATGGAGAAGGGAGGTGGACAGGAAACCCCGCCCTGATGACCAGCCATTGGTGATTGGTGAAGGCCACTTTCATGTCCTCCCCTCCAGTCCCGTCATGTGTTCTCTTCTTTTTTAACCCAGAGTCTACTTACTGATGCCAGTATGTTCATGTGTGTAGGGCATCTACTGAAGCATGGGTAGCCATTTCAGGGGCCCCATCCCTGAAGAAAGCTCATCCTATCAGCCATGATTTGCCAACTTCTCAGCTAGGAGGTGGGAATTTCCTGACCATCTCCCCACTCCATGCTGGGATTTTGTCTGGCTTGATCTTGTGTTGCTAGGCAGGTCATAGGCCCTAAATGAACATAATAATAAGCCAACTCTCAAAGACTTATTACTCCCATAGATTAGCATGAGTCTCAACCCTCATCAGAGAAACTCCTTTTAGCACAGCAACTTGTGAGTTGCCATCATTGGAAAACACTCATTTCCAATGATCTTAGGACTGATACACCACTCAGTAGCAAAATTAAAATTATAAAATAGCAACAAAAATAAATTTATGGTTGGAGGTTCCTAAGCAATCAGAAATATATTTTTTTTCTGATGGTCATGAGCCACGGGTTGAGAACTGAATTTTTAGTAGGAGATGGTGATTAACATAGGAACTCCCAACTGGTCATCATGCATAAAATAAGACATTATGGAGTGCTCATTCCTAAATGGGACATCTCTGTCATATCGTCTTAGTCAGGGTTTCTACACCATGGCCAAAGCAAGCTGGGGAGGAAAGGATTTATTTGGTTTATACTTCTATATCACAGTTCATCACAGAAGGAAGTCAGGACATGAGCTCAAGCAGGGCAGGAATCTGGAGGCAGGAGCTGATGCAGAGGCCATGGGGGGGAGTTGCTTGATCCTCTTGACTTGCTCAGCCTGCTTTCTTATAGGACCCAGGATGACCAGCCCAGGGATGGCCCCACCCTGGGCCATGGGCTGGGCCCTCCAAAATCAATAACTAATTAAGAAAATTCCCCACAGCTGGATCCTATGGAAGCATTTTCTTAATTGAGGTCCCCTCCTCTCAGATGACTTTAGCTGCTACCAAGTTGCTATAAAACTAGGCAGTATCCCCTCCTCCTCCAAGGCTCAGGGGTCATCCTGAAAGATGGAGTGGAAGGATTGTAAGAGCCAGAAGCAGTGGCTGACTCCAGTGAAACTGTTTCTGGATGCAACAGTGCAGTTCTGCATTTGAACTGACATTGGCATGACTGCATGCATAGGACTTTCGATGTCGACGAGTGAATCTTCCTAAGGAAATGCTGCCGCGTGTTTTTGAGCATGTGCCTACAGGGTTCTGCAATAATAGACTCGATGTATTAGAAGCAAGAGGCAATGAGCCAGGCCTAAGGGCTTTCAGGCCACCACATCCCAGAGGATTCCACAATAAGCAACAACCTCAACTGAATCCCCACTGTACAACTGGTTGCCTGTGACATTTACCACCTTTATCAAGACAAACCTCCAAAGGTTTTACCCCTAAGAACTGCGTGCTGACATTGTCCTCATATGGGGGGGTGCATTATCCTAAGTATGCCAATGGAAGATTTCAGAAGACTCACCCCCATATTTTCCCATACTTTTTATAGCAGTCTTCATCAAATTTCCATGTACCCTGGGAAGAGAAATAAAATTAAATTGATTATCGTTCTGTTACATACTGACTCCTTCCTAACTAGGGCACAAATGACTCATCTCACAAAATCAGGCTTCCCCGTGCCACTGGCAGTCAGAGGCAAATTCCTACTAGGATATTTGAAGGAATGAGGAGACTACAGCAGTTGTCTGGAATAAAGAGTTTAAGGCTGTTCTTATACTTTCTCAGTGGGTAAAAGCACTTGCAGAGGACCTAGGTTTCATTCCCAGTACCCACATGGTGGCTCACAACCATCTGTATGTAACTCCAGCTCCAGGGATCTCAGGCCCTCTTCTGGCCTCCTCAGACGGTGCACACATGGTGCACAGACATGCATCAGGCAAACACCCACACACATCTAAACATAAAGCAAGAGAGTGGAACCAGGCTTGGTGGCACATGCCTGCAAATTCTAATGCTCCAGAGGGGGAGGCAGGAGCATCACCAATTTGATGGTTGGCATGGGCTCTGTAGTGAGATCTGGTACCTACAACTATAAATAAATAAATAAATAAATAAATAATAAATAAATAGCAATAGATCAATCAATCAATAAATACAGTAACAACAACTCTAGAAAGAAGTGAAAAAGAAACAACAGGGAACATCAGAATGTGAGAGAGTGAGTGAAGACAGTATGCAAATCACAGCAGAAAAGTAGAGGGCAGCATGAAGGAAGCTCAACAGCTCTGAGTTTTCAATATTAAAGGTGTGAAATGCAGACTTCCTACAGCTGAGTTGCATCTGAGATGTAGCTCCATGGGCACAGTGCCCACCATAGGCTCACAAAGCCCTGGCTTACATCTCGTGCACGACACTAACTAGGTACAGTGGCTCCTGACCATAATCCCAGCACTTGGGAGGTGGAGGCAGAAGGATCAGAAATTCAAGCCATCCTTCCCTACACAGGGAGTTCCAGGATAAGCCTCAGCTACATGAGACCCTGTAAGGAAATAAAAGAAGTTTCACAAATAGGAAGTGTGTTCTAGCTCTTGGGGGAACTCTTATAGGGAGTTCACCTGGGAAGGCTGGAGTCATAGGTGTGTGCCCACAGGCCTGGCTTTACCTCTCATGTTTTTACTTATGAGTATTCCCTTCCCACAGGGTATACATATGGCATTCTTATGTGAACAATGACACAACAGAGGTCTCATTTAGAACTCTGGCCTGCAGTAGCTTCTAGCTATAAGATAGAGATTCTGGGTCTTTCCTAGCCATCTGCCATAGTGGATGGATGAAAGGCCCGAGCTAACATGGGATTAGCTTGTTAAACAACTACAATAAAGCCTCGTGCAGTTTGCATCAAGCTTTCGACTCTGCCCGGTGATTGGGGTCATCGAGGTCCTGGACCGAGATCCTGGGGACCTGAACTTCCGGGGGTCTTTCATTTGGGGGCTCGTCCTGGATTTGCGACCACCCCTCACCTGAGTGGGGCCGATCTTGGAGGTAAGCAGGGTACCCTTACCCTATTCTGTCTTGTCTACTGTCTGCCGGCTCTGTCTCTGTCTATGCAGTTTCTATAAAGCCCGGAGGGTTGGAACAGGCTGTGTGACTGGCCAGTTGAGCAAGTTTGTTATCTGTATTATCTGATCTTTTGCAATTCACACCCTGCCTGCCTGCTTTCAGTGCTGTGTCAGTTTTGTGTTTTCAGGTCTGCTCTTTTTGTTGATTGTGTAAATGTAAAGGTCCTATGTTGGGGTCGCTAGTGAAATCTGAAAGTAGGCCTACAAGAATTAGGAGGGAATTTAGGGGACGCCCCAATCCCTTGTTTAAGGCGAAGATTCGGGCAATAGCCTTCAGCAATCTGTAGGAGGGGGACTTGGTGGGACCAAGTTGCCTGCTCCATCTATAAGGGGACTCAGGCAGGTCACCCATCTGTAGGGGGAGACATGGTTGTGGACCAAGTTGTTCCCCATGGGGCTAGCCATCTGAAATTCTGAATAGGACCCTAGTCTGTGTTACTGTGCTGTCTGTTCAAGTTTCACATTTGTGCTATGTGTTTGTTAAGCATCTCTCTCTGTCCTTACCGCTCACACAAGTGGCATGTGTGGGTCAGGGGTCTTTTCTTGCTGTCCTGAGCATGTGGCATGTGGGACAGGAGTTCCTCTGCCATGAGCCATGGGTTAGAGTGTGCTGCGGTGGAGTCTCCTGTCTCAGAGCACATGGTGAAGTGGTTGTTCTGAACTCCAACAACTGCTGCAGCCCTCACAGCTGAGCCTGGCCAGTGCAGGTGAGTCTATCTCGCCATCCTCACCCGCCCATCTGTGAGGCATGCAAAGTGGGGCTCTCTCTGCCCCAACTGCCATCCTGCCATGGGTCCTGGTATGCGGCAGGAGTTTCCCTGCCCTGAGCACGTGGCTTGCAAGGCCACTATTTGACTGGCCTTCTCCGTCCTCCACACATGTGGTATGTAGAATGTTGAGGCAGGGAAGTTGCGGGGGTCTCTTTCCTGCCCCCGCACGGGCAGAGTGTCTGGGCTTACCAGCAGCCCACCCCTAGGCCTCTGCCCTGAGCACACAATGCAGGTCAGGTAAGCCAAAACAGAATGGCCTTAAAGTTATTAAAAACCATAAGAAGGACTTTGGTAAGAGTTTTTATGTTGACTGAGAAATGAGAGAAAATGTAGGAGACTAAAATAATAAAGAGGGAAAGAGAAAGAAAGATTTGTCTAAGGAAATCAGAGGAATGAACTGAAGGTATATAGATAGCTATAGAGAGTTAAAGCAAGTTGTAGAAGGTCAGAGGAAAGTTATGAAAGGTCAGAGGAAAGGTTGTTAAAAGTCAGAGAAAAATGTAAACTATTTGCTATGGTTTCTCATGTCTACAAATAGTAAATTTTAAAAATTGGTAATATAAGTTAAAATTTTAACCATATTAAGTAATCCTATTTTAAAAGTTCTGTTTATTTCTCAAGCAATTTATGTATGCTTGTTTTAAAATGTTCTGTTTCCTGGCATAACCTAAGTTCTGTTACAAGCATACAGCTAAAACAAATGGTGCAGGTCACC